AGTTTTTGAGTTCGTCTTGGGTGCTATGTTCAATTAATCTATATATTTCTTATGAACGTTATATGAATTCCTGATTTATATGGTTTTTACCCTATGTGTGATTATGCTAATTTCTCCTAAATTGGTATTGTTCTATATTTGTGGGTCTTCGAATCCCTGTGATTGGTTCTTCATCGATCTTGCATGATATTCTCTACTGATTCTTGAGATATTCCTTTAATTAAGGCTGGTTTCCTGTTTATCCTTGCCTATAGCATGTTACTCCGCTCATGTGTGATATTTTCCTTTGATAAATATTGATTACTTGTAATTAGAACCTCACTCGAGGATCTCCTTACTGATTTCCGGAATTTGAAATATCTGTTGCCTTATTTCTCTGGCTGATTCCGCTGTCAAACTAATTTGTATATATTTTCCTTAAATAGGATTCTGAACTTGACCGTAATTGCATGCTCTATACCTATATTACACTTGTACTACTTTCTTATTGAGTTATAAGAAGCTTTACTTGATTCCTTTCCTTATTTTGCCACTGCTTCTTAGTGTTTGAGTATGATTCCTTAATTTAAGGAAGTCTATATACTAAATTGATTCTAATTAACATTTGTTTCTATAATTACTGCTGAACTATTATTTTTACCTAATTCTTCTGCCCGCTTTCAAATTATATATACTCTATTCATTCATTAGCATACATACGAAAAACAATCTTTTCAACTCTCTCTCTCACAACTAAAAACTCTCTATTCTCTCTTCTGTGCTACTTGCTACTATTCTATGCTAGCCGGCTGCAAGCCAAGGCCAACTACTGCGCCTCTCCTATTTCTGCTTTCTGTTTTTGCTTTCTTTACTTCACTGATATGTTCTAAATCAGATTTCAGTCCTCAAACCAACATATTTCTATTGCTGTTACAATTCCTTGTATTTCTGATATACTTTTATTTACTATTTTTGTTGTTCAACATGTAATTGGGATCCTGAGTTCCCTCTACATGTTATGCTATGCTTTGCTTGTCAATAACCAACATGTTTCTATATACTTAGTACATGTTTCTTATGTGAATCCCCATGATTGGTACGATCATGGTCTTAGTTGTTTGGTGTTGATATGTTAATCTAATCCAATAACCTACTGTCCCCCCTAATCCTCTGAACCTGTAGGAGTTTCTGATTGTGTACTTGTATATGTTTCTGCCTGCTACATGTTTGCCCTCACATGCTCCATATTTGTCTCTCCAATCCCATTCCCTTGCTTGTGTTTGTTGGACTATTCTTGGTCCTTGGTGTGATGCTGACTTTGTTTTGGTTCTGAGATTGGTATGCATACTCCTTCAAATGGTTTTCATCAGTTAAACTCTGTTATACAACTATTCCAATTAAGTCTCTCTTTTCAAAACTATTTCTTGCTTACCCTTTTTCAAAACTGTTTTCTTACTTAAACTCTTCAAAACTATGTCGAGAACTCTCACTCCACTCTTAGACAACTAAGTTCTGCCCCTTTTGTGTGAGCCTTGCCTTGGGACCCTTGAGTTCCCTCTGAACTTGGACACACAAAAGTTGGCCTTTCCACAATGCACTTACTCTGTCTTGGCTATGAAATCTGGGTGTGAGCACTGCCCGGGATCCCTTGAGGTCCTTAGGGAACTCTGACACACCCAGATATGAGAAAGGCTATGAAATAATCTTGGTATTTGAGGTGTTGGAGTTAGATTTATTACATAACTCAGAGAGGAAGTCCTAATCAGGTGCTAAAAATCTGGGCCTGTTTTCAGGCTCTCTATAATGTAACTTTTTTTTATTTTTATTTTTTACTTACGTAATTCATTTCAATATTGGTCTGTAATAATCTGTTGTAAACGAATATTGAGGTTGGCTAGTGAAAAGGGGAGGGTAGTTATATATGCTATCAACATCAATGGGTAGAAACCATGCCTTAGGTTTACATTTCCTATATGTGCATTAGAATCCATGTATAAGACCAACACATTCAAAGCATGTTATGCATTAGATACCATGTTCTTAGGTTTACTGTTTCAACATCTCATTTGACAACATTTTACCACTTAGAAATCCTGCTTTAGTCTAAATAACAGCAGCAACATAAATGTTGCTCCTGCACGTCTTGAAGTCATGCTGTAACTCTTTGGGCATTTAGAAATCATGCTTTAGGAATTTTGCAACCATTCTGCATTGTCATATGTGCACGTTAGATGCCCTGTTTTAGGATTTTGTTCACACTCACTCAGTCACACCTAGCTAAACTACTGATGCATGAAAAAGACATAAAACAGTCTCATATTTGATTATCCTGTTTAAGTGAAACTGGTCACAATCCTTGCATTTCTTTACAACATTTAGAACAACATGATTTAGGTAAAGTAACTTCTAAATTGTTTTAATAATTCTGGTAACTGCTGCATATCATTTTACGCCTAGGCAAACCTTAGGTAATAAACTTTAAAATAAAAATCAGAGCCGTCTTTGTGATTAATGTTTAACTGTCAGCATGTTAAAATCGGTAGGCAAGCTTGATTAGGACTTCTTCTCTGAGTCATGTAATAAATCTGACTCTGCTGTTATCACTTAGATACCATGATTAGGATCTGAATTTAGACCTTAATTGTGTATGAGTCATGCTGTTTATGTGTACTGTGTGTGGAGGTATATCTGAGCCTTTCATTTGTCTTCCATGCTCCCCTTAATTGAAGTCCTTCTTGTTTATTATATGTCGCCTTAGTATTTTACTTTTAAACTTGAGGGTCTGCCTAGAACCCCATTTTTATAGGATAGGAGTCCTAAATTCCTCCGCGACTGATAGGAATGGACGGGTAACAACATGCAATAGGGGTCGAGACCAACCCTCGCTTTAATTACCTTCACGGGACGGGAAGGGTAGATATGGATATGATGACCGGTGCGTTAATACCACGTGTAGCCCCTCTTTGAGGAGTGTCATACCGAGTATTGCATTGATGTGATCCATATTATTAATAAACCTAGGACACCCCCCTTTACATTCACAAATATGCTTAGATTGTAATTCTTTTTAAAATCTTGCTTTTCATTAATTGTTCTTTTTCAAACACCTGTGTATTTAAACTTAAATCCCCCACTATTTGAGCCATACTTATTTATTTGTTAATTGTACAAATTCACAAAAACTGTTTGGCCGGGAACCACACTAGTGAATCTTGAGGGGTGCCTAACACCTTTCCCTTAGGATAATTTCAAGCCCTTACCCTGTCTCTGGTTACCAAACGTAGTTATAAATGAACCCTATAGGTACCCTAACACACCTTAAATCGTTAGGTGGCGACTCTTCTAAAATGGAGACCTCATTTCCAAAAGGAAAGAGTTGTCTCAACCAAAAATGTCATAAACCCGATTTCGTGAGAAAAAAGGAGGCGCGACATACGCCTATCCGAATCTCAACCGAGCCCTCGGGGCTCCAAACCAAACATGTACACTACCTCAAAAACACTCTACGGATGTACTCGTGCATTCAAATCACCAAAATAACATCAACAACTATGAATTTAGCATCAAAATCATGAAATCATTTAAGAACTTCAAATTTTTCAATTTTCTCAAATACGGTCCAATTCACGTCATTTCAAGTCTGTTTCTTACCAAATTTAACAGACTCGACTTAAACCACATATAAGACCTGTACCGAGCTCCAGAACTATAGTATGGGCCCGATACCGTCAAATTTTAAACACATTTCATTTCCAAAATTCATAAATAATTCCAATCATTCCAGAAAATAATTTTCTTTAAAAATTCATTTCTCGGGCTTGGGACCTCGAAATTCGATTCCGGGCATACGCCCAAGTCCCATATTTTCCTACGGACCCTCCGGGACCGTCAAATCACAGGTCCGGGTCTGTTTACCCAAAATGTTGATCGAAGTCAACTTAAATTCATTTTAAATTTAAAATTCATCATTTTTCACAGATTTTCACATAATGGCTTTCCGGCTATGTGTCCGAACTACGCACGCAAATCGAGGTGATACTAAAAGAGGGTTTTAAGGCCTCAAAACGCAGAATTTATTTCTAAAACAAGTGATGACTTTTTGGGTCATCACAATTATACAAAGAGAACTTCCAAGAGGACTTACATCCATAAAGATGCAATTTACTACTTCAAACAAAGAGAACCAGCTACATTAAACAAATACTAACATGATATTAATGGTAGTAATTCAATATAGTAGTTCAAATTATATTTTGTTATAACTCTTTAAAATGATAAGATAATAAATATATGATAGAAGTCTATATAAATTATAGGTGGTTTAATTATTTTTCTTAATTAAGGAGATAAGAAAAATATTTTTATTTTTCTACAGATTTATCATATGTTAATTTTATAATGAAATAATATAAAAATTATAACAAATAATATTTTAAGACAATTTATAGATAGTTGAAAACTTATTATGAAGGATGGAGTTCAAACCATATAAATTAAATTTTTACATCAATTAAGCATACAAGAGATAGCCTCCTAGATCAGATGAACAAATCTTATCACTTAAATTAACTTTTAAGATTTAGCAAACTATACTTTTTAAAATTACTTTTGAATATAAAACTTTACGGTTTGAAATCGCCTTCAAATAGTGTGGATACATGAAAACCTTTTAATTTTATTTTTAAATTGTGTTAAAATAGTATGGATAAATATGAAAATCTTGTAAATATTTATCGATACTTCTTTTTGTTACTTTATTATTTAAAACTTAAATTGGTTCAAGATGAGGTCAGATCCAAGCACCAAAAAATAAGACGTCCTTTGCGAGTTTCACCCAGAACAAGGGCAAGAAATCGAGGACGGCTTCGCCCTAAGATAGGAGGTAGTAAATATGCTTCGACAAGGATACCTCAAAGAATTGCCGAGGAAGGACCAACTTTGCCCGAGGACGCAAACAATATCAGGGACAGCCGAACTGGAACGAAGGGTAAAACCGTCATTTGGGTAAGTTAAAAAATAACTGGCTTCCACTTTCTCCACTTAGCTTCAGGTTCCATGCCCATTTCTTCGAGAACTCTTCCTGCCAAACAACAAATGGAGGCTAAAAGAATACATCTATGTGAAGCTCTGGGTTTCCATCTCCAAACAATGTGAAATTTGAGTGCCAGCTCCACCTTTAATTCTAATGGATGCTAATTTGGGTTTGTTTTTTCCCCCCAACAGCCCCTTACACTGCTTTCTCTCCCTTTTCGTCTAATTTTTCTTAATCCCTAATATGTTATTTCCTTCTTTCTCCTATTTTTGGTCTTAGCTTCTGGGTTCGTGGAAACAATTTCCTATCTTGATTCCAGTATGTTGGTGACTCTATGATTTCTGATTTTTGGTGAGTTTTATTCCGTTTTCCCGTTCTGAATTTAGTTGAGTATCTAAAAATCTGTGCATGCATTTCAATCGTTGCTATGTTTAGAGATAGATACTTAGGTACATGTTTTTCGGTATTTTTGAGGATGAATGGATTCTTTGAAGTGCCTATTAACGGTGAAATTGGTACACATGAATAAAGCGAAATACAGAATCTATTTAGGAAATAAAGAAACCAAAAGACTAACATCGTTGGGCACCCGCTGTCTCTTTGATATGTGATTCCTTCCTATGGCTGCAACACAATTTGTCATGTTTTGGTTTTAAGTTATTTTAATTTTTCCCTTGTGGCATCATTGCAGAATTGTTACAACAAAATATTTGTTCAAGGGTGCTAGCAGAAATGCTCCTTTTAAATGAGGTAAGCCACTTCTTTGCTTGAAGTGCCTTGAAAAGAAGAGTTCTGATCAGCACCATGTCAAGAAGATGTTGGTAAACTCTATTTTTATAAAGTGCTCTACACTTCTCATGAGAAGAAAAAGATTCATATCTATTATACTATTAAACAATGAGATCCTTTTGAATTTACATAGATATCTCTTTGGATCAACATTTAATTGAATTAGGACAAATTATTATAAATACAAGGCCTGACAAGTTATTGTACGAATTGGTATTTCAGAACATATCGGGCAGCACAACAACACTACAACAAAGCGTCAAACTGGATTATTCAGCTAATGGGTCAGGAACAAAACAAGAAGGGGGCTTGCTGAAACTCAATTTCAGGAGCTCGGGTATGTACTTTAGTGGAATTTATAACTAGATGCAACACAACACTTACATCAGGCCTTGCAGTTTGAAAGTTGAAGGTTCTCTCTTTAGGAAGTGGTGCAATATAAAATGCTATACAGAATATTCCAACATAGATGAAGCATCATAAATATCAGGAACATATAACATTCCATAAAATTCAAACTTTACTGTACTTGAATAGAATGGAAATATTCACTAAAATCATTGAGTGATTTGTATCGAGAAAGAAGTCCAAAATTTATAATTCTCTTACAAACTCAAATACTTACCTCTTGAAACAAACACAGATTACCTCTTTGGGCAAATTTTTGTTGGTGATAAAGTGTGGTTGTCTTTGTATCTATCTTTGATTGTTTGATGTAGGTTGTATTGTAGGGCCACTATGGAACGGTAGGAAAAAACTTGACGTAGAATATCCTTAAATAGGATCCAACGAAGGGTCAGAAATGCTTAACGCATAATTAAGAGTGAGAGCTGTGAACGTTTTTCAAAATTTTCGAACCGCCATAAGTACCTAAAAATGCTGACTATGATGATGACACTGTAGGTTCCACAATTTTGAATTTATTCTTTTTCCTAAATACATTAAAATATTTTTGTTTGATGTGATAAATGTGTCAAATTGAAGAGCTCTGTAATCAAACAAAAATTAGTATATTGGGTGTGTTGCTGATTTCTTCCTTTTTGGAGGAGTTCTTTAGTATTAATTCACTTTTACTTTTATATGTGGCCTAACAAGTTCAATTTTGTTTTATGGGTCATAAGGTGCGCGCTGCTGTTTGGATTAGAAGAGTGATATTGTGTTATATTTTGTTCTTTCTTTTGTAGCTCAACAATTCGGGATAAAATAACTTCTCATGTCATGCCATGGTTTACTAGCGAGGCTGCTCAAAGAGATTCAAGCTGAAAATATGAAAGATGTTATCGAGGAAGATGAGGATGAAGAAGATGCATATGACAAGGATGAAGAGGAGATGACAGAAAAGAATGTGAGATTTTTTGCCTGCTTTTACAAAGTGATTCGACTTTTTCCTGTTAATCTATGCCATGTTATTCCAGTTAAAGAGGGTTACTAGATTTTTACAAATTCTGTTTGCAAAGTAAAAGTTAATGTGTTGCCCTTCTCAGCTGCCACATGTTAATAGAGGGTATTGTAGCCATAAAGATTGCTTTTAGAAGTTAATTTGAGTGTGTGTTTCTCTCACATCAAAGGCTTGAACCACTAGAATAGAGAGGGTGATGAAAATTGGCAAAGCAACTAATGAACTAACTCTTTTCTTCATTCTTTCGTCATGTATTTTCTTGATATCTTAGGATCTTTATTTTAAAGCAGTCTGTTTCATGAAGCTTTTGTAATATCCATAAAATTATCGTGCATATAAACGAATTGTTAACTGATTCGATATGTTATTTTATTATATTTTTAACTGATTCGATATTTTGGTTAATATCATTTTCTTTTGGTAAATAGTTCCCAGTTATAATTCTATTTTCATCTCTATAACTTTACAAAGTTGGTTCACTTTGTGCAATGTCTGGTAAGTTTTTGATTCAAGAAAGTGGGGTTTGGTTTCAAACTATTGATCTGTTTATTTTTATTTTAAAGCGGTAGTTCTGATTGCATTTTCTGAGATTTTGTAATCTTGACCTAGAATCCTAAATTCCGGATGTGAGCATGTCATTAATAAGCAAAGAACAGTCCAATTCACGATATAGGATAATGCAGTAAATATTTTTGATAAACTGATACCATTTTTCATCACATCCTTTCCAATAGACCTGAAGTTCTTCATAGGCATGCGGGGTAGAAAATCTTCTCTTGAGAAAAAGACAGACCAGAGATGACAGAGGGATTAGTTAGTTACCAAGGTGCATCTAACAATATTACATTAGATTGATATTTCCAGATCTGTTATCAAGTGGTCCTTGAGAAATAGATAAAACTGAAATTTACATATCCAGAAAATGAAGGTTCACAATTATTGTGGTTGGCGCCGAGGTTCTGATAAAAGAATGATACTGTCTTCTACATACCTTTAATGATACCCTTCATACTGTGAGAACATGTTGTTTATATTGCTGGTGTATTGGAGAAGAGTAAGTTGACTCAATTTTTTAAATAAAGATTTTAACTCAAAGTTCTCCATAACCTAAAGAAATTTGTTTTTTGCTGCGTATAATAATTGCTTTACGATTTTAGAAGTAGGTTGTTCATAGGTCCCCCATTTCATTTTCATGGCTAAATATCCACTTCCTTTTTATTATGTTTGAGTTTAGAAATGATTTTCTGCACCGGTTTTATTTCATTAGAAATAATGTCATCTATACTTATACTAGTTAAAGATGGCCCGTGCTAAGCCCGGGCCCAAGCCCTTCATTTGTTAGACAAAATTATTATAGCATTAAGATATTTTGTGCGAACTCTCCAAAATACTGTTGCACCCGTCTCGTTGGTATGCATATAAAATGCAATCTTGTCATGTCCTTTACAAATGTACTTGTAAAGGTACTTAACGACCTTAATGTCAAAGCATACTTCAACATTAATATGACAATCAAATTTACCAAGCAAAAAAGGTGAAGGTATTGGTTTATGTTTAGTCAACAATGGCATGCCAATTGGAAGAGTTGGTGGAAAGAGTTGGTGTGGATGCTAGGAGGAAGCTTCCTCCTTTGATGTCACCCATGACATCAAGAGGAGGTAGTTTGATGTCACCAATGACATCAAGAGGAGGTCTTTACCTCTATAAATAGATGCACTCCTTCATTTGTAGAAACCATCCCAAAAATAATACAACACATTGTAGTGAGTAGAGAGTTAAGAGAGAAATTCCTTTAAGTGTAATTGGGAACTCTCCCCTTCCTTTGTTAATATTAAAAAGGCAACTGTTCTCTGGTGGACGTAGGATTATTTTGATCCGAACCACGTTAAATCTTGTGTTCTTTCTTTTACGTTTCCGCTAACAATTGGTATCAGAGCAACAGGATTCTTTAACGATCCAAGGAGGAAGAACAAGCAAAGATGAGTTCCATGAAGTTTGAAATTGATAGATTCAGTGGACGCAACAACTTCAATATCTGGAAGATCCAGATGATGGCGTTACTGCGGAGGGAAGGTTCAATCCATGCTATTGACGGAAAGATCCTAAGGATATATCAACTCCCGATAAGGAGAAGATTGAAGGGGATGCATTGAGTGCAATCCTACTATCCCTTGCACCTAACGTGCTTTGTGAAGTGAGTACGGGTACCGAAGAGACGACCAAACA